AACTCCCTGACCCAGGGATTGCAGGCAGACTTTTTATCAACTGAGCCACTGGGAAGACCTCCAATAAGAAAGTATATAAGTGAATGAGTTAAGAGTACAACAGAGCAAGAAAGGAAGCATAAAAGTAAGGAAGTAAGTGAAAGTCACTCAGGCACGTCCAACTCTTTGCCACCCTAGAATTCTCCAGGCCAGAATACTGGAGTGGGAAGCCTTTCCTTTCTCCAGGGGATCTTCCTAACCCAGGGATCAAACCCAGGTCTCCCACATTGCAGGTGGATTCTTTACCAGCTGAGCCACAAGGGAAGCCCAAGGAAGTAAGGTAGTGTTCTAACCAGGACTGGGTTGGATGCAAACAGATTGGACATAGGATTATCACAGCTCAGAGGAGAAGCAGGAGAGGTTAGATGTGAAAGATTGATCTTTTGTATACAGTTATATAGCTTTCAGTTCCATTAACTGATACTGGAAATATTGTATGTTATTCAAAGTAAGGAAGAAATCAGCAAATTCATTAAGGTGATATTTGAGATATCTTAGTGGTTACCAGCCATTATATAATAAGCCTTATATTTTAGATAAGCCTGATTGATATGTCTAGTTCCTGTTGATGCCACATTCCATGGTCTTCTCTGAGTATCAAAGTATCAGGCCCTTAATCATACAAGTTCATACAATATTGAAGATAAGGATTTCAGAAATTAAATAGTTATACCCCAGTTCACAAAAAGTTGATCGGTAAATGAGAAATTGAATCTATTAACTTACAACGGAGTAATTACCTTTCTACTAACCAGAGATTTTTTATTATCAGCATTAAATTTTTTAGTACAGGGTTTTATTTTCAAATAGTTTAGAACTTACAAGAAGTGACAAAAATAATACAGAGAATTCCATGTACACTTCACACAGCTTTTCCCAATGATAACAGCTTACATAACCATAGTTTGTTGTCAAAACCAGGAAATCCACATTGACACAACACTATTAACTCAAGTACAGATGTTATTCAGAATTCACCAGTTCTTTATACAGTTGTATGCGTATCTGTGTGCAGTTCTATAAAATTTTACCACGTGTAGATTTAAGTTAACATCATTGCACTCGGGATACACAACTGTTCAATCACTACAAAGAAACTCTCTCCCATTACTCCTTAAGTAACTCCTTGCCCTTTTCCCTAAAGGAAATGGTAACCCACTCCAGTATTCTTGCCTGGAAAATTCCATGGACAGAGGAGCCTGGTAGCCTACAGTCCATGGGGTCGCAAAGAGTCAGACACGACTGAGCAACTTCACAACCCTTGGATACCACTAATCTGTTCTCCATCACTATAATTTTATCATTTTGAGAATTTACATAGTGGAGTCATAGTGTGTGACTCTCTTTTTCCTCTAAGCATAATACCTTTGAGGTCCATCCAAGTTATTATGTGTATCAATAGCTCCTTTTCATTCCTGAATAGTATTCTATGATATAAATGTACCATAGTTTGTTTACCATTTACCAGTTTATGGACATTTGGGTTAATTCCTGGTTTTGCTATTAAATGTAAATTTTCCATAAACATTTATGTATAGGTTTTTGTGTAAACAAAGTTTTCATTTCTCTGGGATAAATGGTCAGGAGTAAGATCGCTGGGTCATAGGGCAAGTGTGTGTTTAACTTTATAAGAAAGTGCCAAACTGTTTTCTGGAGTAACCAGTATAAGACCTTAAAAATTATGTAAGTAATATATGCTCAGTTTAAAAAAAAAAAGTAAGATAACTATGTATAAAGTGAAAAGTTAAATTACAAGCCCTGGAATCCTATACCATCTATTTCCTGAGAGCTAACTGTTGTTAGGTTTCCTGTATGTTCTTTGAGAATGTTTTATGTCTATACAAGCACATATATTCATTTATAAATACACATTCACAAATGGGACCACACTATAAAAGCTATTTGCAACCTGATTTTTTTTCATTTAACGTATCCTAGGCATATTTGTGTATCAGTAGATAAATACATACTTAATTGCTTTAAAGGTGGGCATAGAACCCCACTGTATGGATGTATGATAATTTACTTAATCAGTTCCCTAATGACACCATTTCTATCGTCAGTTTCTCTTTATTACAAAACTATAATAAAAATCTACGTGTATCTTTGTGTAACTTGCATGAGCATATCTGTATGATAGATTCCTAGGAATGGAAATTCTAGGTCAATTTTACATGTTATGAGATTTTTTTTTTAACAATCTACACTCCCACCAATGGTATATGAGAATTCTTAGTTCTTCACCAACATTGAGTATTATCAGAATTTAAAATCTATGCCAATCTTGTACAAGTGGTATTGAATTTGTATGTCTTTAGTGGTAAATGAAGTTGAGCACTGTGTTATCTGTTTTATATATTTATTAGCCATTTCTGCATTTATTGTCCAATAAGTTGACTGTTTATAGCCTTTGTTCAGTTTTCTACTGGAATATGTTTATCTTATTGATTTGTGAGAGTTCTTTGTATATTAAGGAAATTAGCCTTTTTCATTCATGTAGCAAATATTTCTTCACAACTTATAGTTTGTCTTTTGCCTTGCTTATGGTATATTAATACATAATTTAAAATTCCTGTGAATGCAAGCTTATTCATCTTTAAACTTTTGGATTTTAGGTCACATATATGTATGCTGTGTAAAGTAGGAGACTATCTGGAAAACCTAATTATAATCAGAAGCTTGCTCTATTTACATGGAGTCAGAACAAAAAGAATTGTGGTATGCTTTATTCAGATCTGTGATAAGACGGGAGGATCATCTCTGCTACACAGGAGGGTATGCATTACTAAAGACCAAAATATTTTTGCATTACATAGTGTTTTGCTCCTCACACAGTATCAAATATTCTAACCATTAAATTTTACTTTTTCAGTATTTATCAGGCACCAAATGCTTCTGCCATTACAATATTATCTCATGAAGGACATGCTACAAATAATGAAAAGCTTATTTTGCATCAGTTACATATTTCACATGATGACAGTTTCTCACTTTGTCTTCAAATTCTAAGGGTGTACTCCGCCGTCTTTCAGTACCCTAGGAGAGAAACTCTACTTCTCAGGATAGGACTGGGGCCCGCAGCACTGTGTTTGCATATATTGAAGGCTTAATAAATATATTTTCTGAGCAAACTCTAGAAAAAAGAGGGGCTACAGTGAAACATTCTTGAATATTGGTGTATATCTGCTATAAAATTTATTTCTGATGTTACACCAGTTAGTTATTAATCTTCCTCAGTGGTATTTTTTTTACAAAATGAAAGTAAGTTTACTAAACAGAGGAACTTTTCAATTTTGTTCAAAGTATAAAATTGTTTAAAGAAGTCTCAGTTGCTACATAGACAATCAGCTGAGGATGTAAATTTATAAAATAAATGAAAAACTATTTGTACCGTGTACTATAAATGTGATGTTTGGAGCAGAAAATCAGTAATTTACAGCTAATACTAAAGCAGGAAATAATTTAATATCAATTGATACTAAATTGGCACAAGTGAACTAAATTAATGTAAAATGATTTGGTACAGAGCCCATTTTTTCTATTACTTTAAGTGGAATTTTGCATTAACTTATATAACTGTAAATTTTCCACAACTCCCTATTTAATGTTCTAGCTGCATCCTTCTTTAACTTGAATCTATTAAAAACTGTATAACATTCCACCAAAGATGGTCTATAAAAGAAATGGAAATTTATTTTGAATAGTATTCCACTCCACAAAGTTCTAGAGGTAAGTAAAAATGTTTCAGGTTTTATTGTTACCGATATTTAGATGTTTAACTTTTATTGTCCAGTCGATTAAATATACCATAACTCTTTTTTTGAAGTTGCAGGGAAAAAAAAACCCCAACAAAACCCAATGACCACACAGGATAGGAGAGAAACTAAGACAGGCGTGACAGGGATGTAATTGAAGGACTGAAAATAACCATTATTTTGCATTAGGAAATGCTTTAGAAGCTCTATCCGGTGAATTCCCCCACCATTTACACGGGGCTTGCATTATTTCTCCTTTGGAAAATGTGTCTTGTTATTAAATACATTTTTTCCTTCTGATTGAAATCTAATTTAACATTATAGGACTAGCTTAATGAAACATTAAAAGAAAAAAAAGCAGCAGCAGCAGAAACAAAGAGCTCTTCTTAACACTATTGTGTGAATCTGTAACAGCCAGAGAAACGCTGTGATCGGTCACGTCTCCCCGACCTGAAGCGGCGCTACGACCGGGACAGGCCCTCCCGGAGTTGACTCCCCCTCCTACCCAGAGAGCTCGCGGCGGTCCGAGGTCCCGGACGCTAGACGCGAAACAAAAACCAAATACAACAGGGTGATAGAGCCTCCGAGTTAACTGGGTCGGAGGAGCGATAAGGGGATCTTTTCGCATTTCAAACATCTTGAGGGAAGGGCGAGGAGGCGTGATAAGAAGGAACCAAAAATTCTTAACTAAGTCGCGAGGCCGCCTCCGCCCACGCTTCCAGGAAGACGATGGATGAGCGGGGGAGGCGGGGAAGACCAGGGAGGTGCTCCCCGACTCCTGCCCGCATTTCGATTTCCCTCCGCTCCGCCCCGAGAGCGCAGAATAAATTGGTGGAGCGCGGGGCCTAACCTAGTAGCCCAGTTCCCTAAGTCTCTCAGACCCTGGAGACAGACCGAGCACGTTTTCTGCGAGACGGTACTAGTGGTCTAAAGAAAAAGAATAGTGTTTTTTTCCCCCTCCAGTGCCAGGTCTTCCCGGTGGAGAATCCGCTCGTTTTCTCTCCACACCCGAAGCCCAGAGCGAGCAAAACAAAACAAAAACTCAAAAAACAATCCCCCTTAAATCACTTCGGATCAGGTGCCCGAGTTGCACGAGTTTACTTCCTTCGGGGGAAGGAGTAGGGGGTGCGGGGAAGCGAGGGGCCGGGATCTAGGGCCGAAGGCCCCCTCGCTGGGGCGTGTCACAGCAGGGGACCTCGAAGCCTGATGCCCGACTGGGCTGCCACCTCGGGCGGCACGGCGTGGGAAGGAGGGGGCCGGGGCACCGGTTCCCAGGAGCCCAGTTTCCGATTTCCCACAGCGCGGGGCTCCTCCGGACATTCCTCCCGCCCTCCCCTCGACCCCCCAATAAAGAAAGAGGAAACGCGGCGCGACCGGCTGCGCAGCGGAAGCGCTGCTCAACGAATGAGTAAGTCAGGCGCGGGCACGGCACCTTGTTTACCCCACTCGGCGGCGCGCCCCTACGGGCGCCTCGTTGAAAGGCGGCGTCGGAGACGCTGAACCCGGGAGGCAGTCGACCCCGATTGGCTGGTGATTGGGAGGAGGACGCTGGGTGGGAGGGCAGGGGGCCAGGCGTTGCAGTGGCGACTCTCTGCCGCTAGATGACGCTCCCTCCCAACGGGAGCCGGGCGCGGGTTCGCGGCCGACAGATGGCGCCTGCGCGTTCCATTCGCCTCCAAGTCGCCGAAGAGCGAACACCCCAAACAATCCCGAAGCGCCACCAAAAAAAAAAAAAAAAAAAAAAAAAAAGAGAGAGAGAGAGAGAAAAAAAAAAAAAACCCGCCGGATCCGACCGCCACTTTCAAAACCCCCCACCGCTCTAGAACCGCGGGAGCTTCCGTCCCTGAGTAGAATTCAAGGGTGTAAAAGAAGAGGAAGGGAAAAATATCTTGTACCAGCCCAGGGGTGAAGAAGCCCCCGGCCTGAGAAAGCAGGAAGGAGGAGTGGGGGAGGCGAACAGTCTCGTTGCTGCCTCTGTGTACGCTGAGGGGGGAGGTAAGTTATAAAATGGCGGAGGCGAAGCTTCTAGAAGTTTGGAGGGGCATCCGGAGGGCGCGGGGCCCACCGTGAGGCGCGTGTGGTTGAAATAGGGCGCGAGAGAGGAGTTGGGAGGGAAAGACACTGGGCACTCTTGCCGTTTAATTTCTTCTCTTATTCCTTCACCCCCAGCGGGGCCCGCTGTGGAGCGGGCGGCCAAGTGAAGCCGGGGAGAAGCCTCCTCGTCCCCGCGTAACCCCCGGCCCTTCTTTCTCCCCTCTTTCCCCAAGTCGCTCCCTCAACACTACCAAGGAACTTCCAACCCCCTCCCTCTCCTCCCTACCTCCTACTCCTAGAGTGGCTTTCTACCGCAGGACTCTTCTTTTCGACTACCCTCGCTGAAGGTTTTCTCTTCCTTCCCTCGCCCCGCTCTCCCTCGGGGCCTCTACGGAGACCCCCCCCCCCAATGGGTGGCCCAAAATGGAGAACGCGGAGCAGCGCAAGATGGAGGCTCTGCTTCTCGGTGTAGCGTTAGATTTAGGTGCCTTTGCTCCGGCAGGCTCTTAAGCCGGGGAGAGCCCGAACTGGAGGTGGGGTGGGGTGCGAGCCGTAGTGGGGGGGAGGCAGGCCGGGCGGCCGCGGGCGGGATGGGGGAAGAGCGCGGCATCGCGGCGAGGGGAAGGAAGAGAGCAAAATGGTGGTGCTGGGAGCCTAGGGGGGAGGGGAGGCGAGGAGGCTCGCTTGTGTATATTTGGGCCTCGGACCGAGGGAGGCGAGGGAAAATCTACTCTGATCACACCCTTCCCTCGTGCCCCCTCCCTTCTCCCTTCCCCTCCTTCCTTTCCTCCCTCCCTCCCCTCCCTCCCTCTCTTCCTCCCTTCCTAGAGAGGGAACAACATTCATGTGACGGGCCCCTCTGCTTCTCCCCCGCCCCGTCATCTCCAGCGCGTGGTGGGGGAACTGCCGGGGAAAGCGATTGGCATCGATCTCTCCATCCCTTCCGAGGCCCGACTTCGGTCAGTTTTCTTCGGGCAACAATTTGCTAAAGAGGTTGGGGTCTGGCGGTGTTGGCCCCCGCGTGCAGACCTTGCCCCGAAGGGGGCCCTGCCTGCCTGGCATGGGAGGAGGGGGGAAGGGCGGGAGTGGAAGGCTGTTTGTTGGGGGGTTTTGGCGCCACTTTTGTTTTAGTTTTAGTGCTGCTTTTCGTTCCCACCCCCACCCGCACTGTCTTTCTCAAGGCACGAACTGAACTGATCCTTGCCCCAGGTAGGCAGCTTCTGCTTTTTCCCTCCACACTTTTATTCTTGCTTGGGCTTGACTTTCTTTTTTCTTCTCTCCCGTACCCGGCGATCAGTGGACGGCGATTTTAGGACGGAAAGGGTCGGATGGGCCCTGGGAGAGAGAAGGTGTGGGAAACAGCATCAAGTAGTTCCGTAAAACTTTGAGCCCCGTTCCCATTTTCTTCTGGCCTACATTCGAAACGTATTGTTGATTTCTGCCCCCCTTTTTTCCCCCGTCGCGAGAATGTCTTGTTTTCCCCTTAGTTTTTTTTTTTTTAATAAACCGCTGTACTTTCGACATTTAGTTTCCGCTCCTCCTCGGTGTATATGTCATTTTATTTTTAATCCTGAACTGTAATGGGTTTTATCGTGTGATTTTTCATGCTGCAGTGTCCAGCTTTAATTTTTAGTATTGCATTAGTAGTTTCATCTGGTTTGTGAGACTTTCTTCGCCGTGGCCTAGAAATGTTTTATATGTTGTTGCCTACCGCCCCCCGCTTCCCTCTCCCTCCTCCTTTCTCTTGGATGTAGTTTTTTAATTGAGGGTCATGGTATTTGATTAAATGGTTATTTACAGTTTACGTGATGTATCTATTAAAAACTTTTGATCTGTAGGGTTAGGTTTAAGTAAACGAAAAGCTCGTGTTGGTTTGAGATGGTGCCTTAAAATGCGCGGGCCGTCGTCCCCCCCCCCCGCCCCCCCCGTAAAGCCTCATCTTCCCCTCGCACGGGAGTGTAAATTCCATACCCCTTTTCTCCCACGGACCGCCGTATTTCACGGCAGCCACACCCTGTATTTGTCTCTGTGGATTGGACTCATTATCAGCTTAATTTAGTGACTCTTAAACCACCATGATGGGACTTGCTTAAGCACGAAGCTTCTTTTCCTGTTTAGTCCTAGTGGTTAGTGTCGAAAGAGGAATAATCGAGGTTTCTTGCTGAAACCTGGTGCGGTCCAGCCTCTGCCTTTTTTCTGTTGTCTTTTTTCCTACTCCGGGCTGTTGGCGGTGTCAGCACCGCTGCTGGGGGCGGGGGTGGAGGGGAGAAAGAGTCGGGTTACCGAAGTGCGTCATTCCTGGCTCTAGCAGGGCCTGCTCGGGAGCTGCTGGTGTTTGTTACTGTCCTCGCAGCACTTTCCTGCCAGCCTTCTCTCTCTGCGTATTGGTTGGGAGCAAAAGCAGGAGGCGGTCTCCTAATTCTATCCGGAGCCGAGCGCGTTGCATTTAAGGGTATATGTGAACTTATTAAAAAAAAAATCGGCCCTGTAAAGTGCATGCATTTCTCTTTAATGAGATAGAATTCAGATAGTTTAGATTTGCTTTTATATATTTTCCAACGAAAGGTGGGGTTAATTTTGAGCATTTTAAACCTCTTACGTTAAAATGCCTGTTTTTTTTTCCCATGCTGATATCAATCTATAATTAGGAGTCTGAAGGGCCAGTTAAGGCATAACTGTTCAGCGGTTTTTCGAGTGATTGAATTGTAGTTTTATGACACATTATGTTAAATAGTGTGCTTTTTCTCGTTTTGAGCTAAGGTGCTACGTGAATGCAAGCTAATTGTTCATGTTTAAGTTCATTTTCATCACATATTCCTATTTACCCTTTTAGATGTCATTTTAAATGTGTCCTTTGGATCTTACTGACTTCATTATATTAAAGATGGTTATTTCCCTTTTTAAAAAAATCTGAATTTAAAGAAAATTTTCCAACCTAACTAACAAGGAGTTGTATGGGGTAGCTGTACAGTTACATTGCTAAATTCTGACTTCTTGCTAGTTTTTGATACTTTATTATCTTTCGATTTTTCTCTGTACTTAGTACAGTGTCTTCCTCAATTCTTTTCTGAAGATAATTGGGTGGGAGGTAGAGATGAAACAAAAGTGGCCTTGAGTTGGTGGTTGTAGCTGGGTGATGAGTACGGGAGAGCTCATTGTACTATTATTCTCCCTACTTTCGTGTGCACTTGAATGTTTCCATAATTAGAAAATTTTGAAGAAAAAAATTCAAATTATCTTGCAATTTTGGTGTAATGACTTAAGTTTATATTTACATATTATTTGCATGAGAAACTTGGCCTTGTGTATAAGTAATTACACAATGTCTGACTTACAAATTCAAAAAATATTTAAATTGAACCAGTATAGAATAAACAAGATAAATGCTTACAAATTGATTGAACTTTAAATATTTGTAACTTAGTCTGAATTTGCTCTACTTTTAGTTTCTTTTTTAATCCTTTGAAAATAGGAAAATTCCATGCGCAAATTTTGTAAATTCTGCTTGGTGTCTATTTCATTAAGTTGGAGTTCCAGTGAGTCAGTATGAAAGGGATTTACTATTAATAGGAGGGGCTTTGGCAGTTGGAATAAGTGACAGTGGAAGAGATTCGGGTGCCCTAGGGGGCATTCCTGGTAAGAAGATCGAGGTAGGAGTTGAATTCTGTTCCAGTATTTGGTGTTTAATGAATGGGTAGAGAAGAGGATTGAAAAATAAATGTACTTATTAGCTGTTCTTTCCCACTGTGAAATAACTATAGCTATAGCATTTTAAGGTATCAGACTGGCAGTTGGGGGTGGGGTGGGGTTTTAAAAAATTGATCTGAAAATGAATGTTTACATATAAAATGAGTTAAAGCTCCCCTCTCCCCACTTTTCCTGGTAGCTTAGACGGTAAAGAATCTGCCTGCAATGTAAGACTCGGGTTCGATCCCTGAGTTGGGAAGATCCCCTCGGGAAGGGAATGGCTACCCACTCCAGTATTCTTGCCTGGAGTATTCCATGGACAGAGGAACCTGGCGGGCTACAGTCCGTGGGGTTGCCGAGAGGGACAGGACTGACACTTTCACTTTTCCCGCCACTTTTAGCTATTTGGTGCTATAAATAGTTAAGAATTCATGTGTAAAATATTTTAATGTTTTATGTTAAGAACATCTGACCACTGCCCATCAACAGTAAAAATGCATTGACATTAAAATCCTCAGTCTCCTTACTGTATTTGTAAATTGCTCCTACAAAGAATTTGTAAATTATTTGAAATTAAGCACCTTATTTTCTGCAATTTTGTGTTATTCAGTGGCAGGTTTTTTCACCCTATAAGATGTGTTTTTGAATGTATGTCAAAGCTTTAAAGGGAACCCAAAATAACGGATATTTGATTTTTCTATTTGGTGATGTGTGTTCCCTAATCATATATTAAAGCAAAAATTACCCTAGGCTGGGGACAGACATTTCATAATTGTTAA